TAGGATGTGAATTGGAATAAATTGTGGAACAAGTTGTGTGAATATGTAGGTAATATAGATTTGTGAATACGTTTTAATATTTAGGTTACTGTTAGTTATATATCTATTGCGTATGTTTCTTTTAGGAAATTCTCAAATGTCAATCTTCAAATCTCAAGTCACGAATCCAAGAAGCACCTCAAGAGGAAAGCATGCTCCAAAGTGTTAACGTTGTTGAGTGTTTATTCATTATTGAATGTTTACGGCACTTTGATCATTTGTTTATCTGAAAATTTGGTACAATTAAGTGTTTTGGTTATGATCACTAAATGGATTTAAACCCTTACAAATATGCAGGCTAGTTGGTGATTCTGAGAGCACCTCAAAATATTTATTATTATTGAAAAATGTTCTGGAGACTAGCAACCTGACATGTGCTACCAACCTTTTATCGAGAAATTTTTCTCGGAGTGATTTGCAGACGGTGCTGTCGTTTGTCATTCAAATCAGTTGCGTTCTGCAGCTTCAATCGAGAGTTCGCAGTGACTGGTTGTGCTAACTACCCAAAGACCCAATGTGCCAGCTTCCAAGTGGTGATTTCAATCAGGCTTCGCTTGCTCAATCTGATTGATCGAAAATTCTAGTCCGTTTTACCTTGTTCACAATTCAAATATGCAACACTGAAGAACAGCTGAATAGGGCGGATACCTCCCAAATCAATGGAGGGTCGTCACGAAAGTGACAGACCTTCAGCACTTGACCCAAGAAACAGAAACTAATCGGAACAAATGAACAACAAGAAAACGTGCGCACCATTGTCATCTATAATAATTATGCAAGAATCAACTAAACCTGTCACAAAAAAGGATTGCCTCCACAGCTGCCTCTCTGAACACAAGGTAAAGCGCTGCGAAAGACCCTAGCCATAGAGCCAGACTCCAAGAAGACCCACTACACCAAAGCCCCTAACCCTGATTTGGAGATCCAAGCAACAAAAGAAGATAGTGCAGAAATAAGTTGAGTCTTTTCAATGCAAACAAGAATCGACGAAACTCCAAAAAGAGCTAGAACCAGCACCAAACCGTGAAACAAGAACCTCCGCAAGAATAAGCCCAACTAACCTTCCCCAACTGTCGCTGAGTAACCCGGCCGTTAACTCAGAATAGCTCTACTAGTGCTGCAGCTAGCTGCATGACCTGCACCAACATCTGCAAGAGTGAATTTAAACGGTCCTGCAGGAAAGGACATTCGGCAAATATTGATAATAGCCATAGATGGACTAACAAACTTATCCAAAATAAATCCAATACGCATTGCCAGGGCTACAGACAAAACCTGCAGACCAATGGAAAAATTAAACACTTGCGCAACAGATCCGTGCGACCAAAACTGTGGAACAAGTGCACACAATAATGAAAATATCTCTAAACTTACCCCATCAAACGTCCTAATTCCTGTTAAAAGTACAATAGCCTGGTCAGCTTAATTCTCATATGGAAAATCTTGGCTCATGAGCTGGACATTACCTACTGTTCATCATAACTTTGCTCAGAATAGCTACTGTCCATTCTAAGGTCTAGCAAAGTTGTGGGCATAAAAACTACCATCTGACCCAGCAAAGTCTAACATCCCACTTTTTGTTCTGACCTTTCTAAGCCCAACCCTACCTACCAAAATACAGATCGGATACAGCTTTGTCAGAGTTGAACAATTCTACCACATCTCACAAAAATGCTGGCTTTGCTGTAGAAATGGGCCCTCCTGGGCCAGGTGCTCTAACAAGCTACCCTAATGCAGCCTCTTTGGCTCTGTCGGCCATGAGAGAAGCAACTGTCCTGATTCAGCCCTGCCTCCAAAAAGCCTAAATTATAAAGGTCCCCATGACGACACATCTAGGCAGTGCCCTAACTAGCGGAGAGACGTGCATGCCATTTCACTGCAGACGAGAGACTCAGCTTTGCAGAAGCAAAGGCAAGAGTGCCAGAGTGAAAGCCAGTCCAGCATCACGGTCATCAACACTAAAAAGGCAAAAATACCCAGCTATCAACATCCTCTAATTTCCAATCAAATCAGCAACCGCCAGAAGCACCCAATGCCTTACATCTTAAGTCCATGAAGATTTTCCCCACGCTCATCCAACTCATAACCCCCGAGATGCGTAGACCACCACGCAGGAGCAGACACCTCCCACCAAACTCAGCCAGAAATGGGGTCCATCTAGCACGTCCAAAGCCTTTAAACCTCCTTAGCAAGCCGACTCTTCCTCTCTCCTTTCACAATCCTCAATGAACATTCAAAACTCTGCCGACACTTCAAATCGCCCAATAACCTCATCAGTCATCACCATCAGCTGATTTCCCGAAAACACTAACCAACTTACTGCCGACCATGATACGCCAATGTTTCACAATACAAATTACTGAGAAGGTAGCTAGCCTTCTCAAGATAAGCTAAGCCTTATCGCCGACTCCGTTGTTGCCGAGCCACTTGCTAAACTCTAAGAAGAGCTAATGCACACCAAACATACTACTGTATGTTACTCGTACTTTCTCACAGCCCTGTACCTTACGCTAACTCTCATTAATGCAGCCCTTATGCTCACTGCCAACCTAACTTCGAAAATCCATCGAACTCTCTACGTGTCCAACCTAAACTCCCTGCAAACAGAGTAGGTAGCGCAGAAAAGGGAAGCCAACACCTCCGTCGGTGACGCGTCTCATCCTAATCAAGTAATCGGGTAAGAAAGTTGTGTCCTGCGAGCCGATCGGTACAGTTGTAGCTCTGTCCTAAGTTCATCAGCCAATCATTGACGGCCTGTCAAGCCAAATCCACCAATCATAGACAAGAAAATAGAGCGTAAGTAATTACGTTCACTTGGCGAATTTTGAAAGTATATGCTCTGGGCTTCAACAGTGGCAGCTACTAACGGCCGATCTTGTTTACCACTTTTCCACTTTTGTCTCGCAGTGAGCCACCTTCCTTACTGGGCTGAAATTTCTAGCCGCCTTTATACATCCGTGTTCATGTAACGCTCCTAAGTACCTGTTTTACAAGTGCCCTAATTTGCTTGATATAAAGAGTTTACACAGTTCGGCGGAAAAATCGAAATAATAACTGCAAAGGCCCCCATTAGTCAATTGTTCAAGTGCATTTTAAATAAATTAGTGACGGACGTTCCACCTCAGGCGGTCATCATTGACGAAAAGGAAGATAACGTCCGGTCACGCTTTGAATAATTCCAAACTGGGATAATCATTTCCTACTTAGGTCTAAAGTTTGACTTATTTTTAATCGTCGCGTCTTCAAGGTCAACACCAAATATGGCTGCATTTTGCATTAGAAAGTATATTTCGCTTCCTAAAATGTCACATACAAATGCAATTATTTCTTTTCCAGCAAAAAATTATATTAATTAGTTCATTATTGTAGCAATTTTAATTGCCATAGTGAAATGACTTAGATTTCGGTGGTAAAATGATTTTCATTATGATAGTGTCATGACTTTTATAGCGATGGTGAAATGACCTTCATAGCGATGGTAAAATGACCTTCATAGAAATGGTGAATTCATAGCGATGGTGAAATGACTTTCATAGCGATGGTGTAATAACCTTCATAGCGATGGTGAAATGACTTTCATAGCGATGGTGTAATAACCTTCATAGCGCTGGTGAAATGACTTTCATAGCGATGGTGTAATAACTTTCATAGCGATGGTGAAATGACTTTCATAGCGATGGTGAAATGACTTTCATTCCGGGCTAATTAGTTAGTTATTAAGATGTTTTCCTTACGTCAAGATTTTATTGTTTGGCCGCCGCAGTATCGCAGAACCTTGTAATTCTTCTCATTAAAAATAAATTGCCCGAGTTTGTCTTGTTAACTCCACGTCTTTCCCTCGTCAGAATTTTTCATTGCCTGACAGAAAGTTGCCGAAAATATTCATTAACGACGGAAATGTTTTCTGGGATAAATTTGTTGATGGGTTGTCTCAACTTTTATTACCTCGTGATAAAATTAAATGCAAATCATTTCGACACAGTGGACAGGACTAATCATTATTCTTGTCAACTATTTTGTTGGTACCAATAACATATGAATTGATATTATAGAGCCATTGTGTTGAATCTTCACTAAATTATGTTCAGTAAATTTTAACTTTTTTAGAAGACACCCGTAGTGCTTGATGATCACTGTTATATTTTCTTTTTGTGGGATATGAGTGAAAATATTTACTATCATGAACCGATTAAATAGAAAATTGGAATTAAAAACTTAAGATTTTGATTTTAAGCGCCTTCTCTCTTTTGAGCTTCCTGTATTTTATGGACCTGGCTTTCATAAGTTAAGACTTAAATTCGGGGTTAACAATCAACCCTCTCACAATTAGCTGCAGAGTGAGGTAATAAAAACCGGGATATAATAGGTGATAAAGTTCGCACTGGGCTGACTTTTGATTTAAAATACATCGGGTTTTGTTTATGGCCTATTTAATATGGACATTTCGAGTCTTCGGTTGCTTGCAATAAATGTAGCTTTAATAATACATATTTGATGTCATATCTGTATTTAAGAAACAGTAGTTTGTAAAAAGTTGGACACATATGCATATATAAGAGATTTGAGGTGAAAACGCTACCACAAACGTTGGCCACAAACAAAACATTGTATTATGCCAGCATCCGAATACTGCACACCAGTGTATCATTGAATCAGAATAGCTTCTCACGATATCTTATTTCCATCGAAGTCTTATCACTAAAATGTCTCACTATTTATGTCTTAGTACTTAAAAATTTTATAAGAAGACGCCACAATTCAGAGACTCGTGTTACAGCCTTAAGCGTTTTAAAGCGATATGTCGACGGCTTTTTGGTAGGCATGAGCGCGAACACTGCCTGAATATATCATGATCATTTCTGACTAAAAGATATCAGAATTAATACTCACTACTACTAATACTCACTACTAGTGCTCACTACTAGTACTCACTACTACTACTCACAATCACTATTACTTACTTGCGAGAAGACACGCTGCGCAGACACACATGAAGACCTTCTGGCCCAGACTTTTGTTGGTCGTGAATGAGCGTCGCGTGAGACTGATGACTGGGTCCATGACTGATGACTGAGCTGGAGATGACTTTTGGCCGACGACAAGTAAAATGACTTGGCTTTGTGATGACTGGAGATTTACGGAGACCAACGACTAGCAGTAGTGCTGGTCTTGGTAACGTGGTAGTAACGTGATGAGGTCATGTAAGTAAATGTGATAGCAATGTGATAAGTGAATTGAAATTATATACACTTGTGAAATTATAACGAGACGAATGACTGGTAAAATTATTCTACTTTTTAAATTTATTAGAGTGAAGCAGACTTAATGAAGCCCATTCATCAATTATAATATGTCATAAACTATATACGGTAATATTTGCATCATCTTTTTTACGAGTCGGTCAATACCGAATTAAGTGATTTCGCATGTACTATTCATGTTAAATGAAAAAAATGGTTTGAGCTAATCAATAAACATCTGTACTCGGTGTAAAAAATTAGTAACACACAATGATTGGCCGCACTTTCTATAATTTACTCATGTGTACCGATGAAATTTACATGTTTATTCAATACGCTCGAAAATTATGACCAGAATCTAAACTTTATTTTCTGTTCCATTGACTTGAAGCAATTCATTTCTCAATTTATAAATGAATTTTTTCAATTAAAATCTTCAGCAAATAGTTAACACTTTCATTTACCTTTAGGAATGATTTTCTCCAGACAATTGATTTTCTCCTGATAACTGTCATTAACTGTGAATTATTTTTTTCTGGATAACTGCAACTTTTCTTCTTGAAATTTCTTATACACTCACTTGCAATGAAATTTTTGGTGTTTTTCATTCACACTGATTTTGACTAAAAACATTTACTTCTGTGGTACGTAATTTCAAAACTATATTCTATTCAAGCACCAGCATCGTTGCTTTTCGCAGTCAATTTCTCTCATGCGGTTAATCTTCGATACACAGATAACTAAACTAACTACTCAACATCAACGTGAGCAAATTCGTTACACTAAATAATAAATTTTGAGCTGGCGTTGCAATATTATTGCCAGGAGGCCAGAATATCGTGATAAATAAGCTTTTTAAATTAAATTCAAGATTTTTTAGTCAAGCAATTCGCTTCTTTTTGAAGCCTTCGCATAACAATTTGAGCATATCACTTGCGTTTTGTCCGAAAAATCTAATTTGAAATTTTCAACATGGGGCAAAAATCGGCGTTCAATCACGCCATAAGTAAATAAAACCTGTAAAAGGAGATTGGTGAATTCAACACGGTTAAAGGAATATTTGCTTAAAGATATTTAATTCAAATGATGATGTCTATTTGGCTTTTTTACCTGTGGCATATTTCTTGGTAGTTTCAATTAAATAAGATCTATTTTTCTAAATTTTAATTATAACACTCTTTCTAAAAATCTTCATAAAACATTAAGTACTTAAATTTTGAATTACTCTATTCCTCCTCAGAAATTCAAAAGTAAATAATTCCGATGAATTAGTTCACTTCTTTCATGACTGAAAACATTCGCGGAAATTATAATTCCCACTGAAAAGTCCCACCGTATTTAACTAAAGATAATAATTTAGCTGGAATTGTCAACGGTTAACCGTTTCAAGAGGACCTTCCTACGAGTCAGATTCCTATTTCGGCTGACCAATGCTGGGAAGCCACGAAAATTCGGTTCTTCGTTTAAAAATTCCAGAGGCGTAACCGCGGCCTGAGCGCAATTTATTAGGTGGCAACGGCCTGACTACCACGAATACCTAACGTGCTCGTGGGCCCATAATCGAGCAAGTGCATCCAATTTACATTTTATAATCAATGGCCCATCCTTGCGAAGATGTTAGTAATTAAATTACTACCTTGTGATGAATGCACATCGTGCATTTAATTTATCCACAAGCTATATCAAACTGCAACTGCCCATGCAAAAAAAATCGTGTAAGGGTGCATAATTGCTACTATTTTATCAATAAATCATGAGTACGCTCTCTAAATGCAGCCTTAAAGTTAATTTTTTTCTCCAAAATGGAAATGCCATGAATGCTCATAAACAATATTTATTAATTAGCATTAAAGTCGAAATTTACGAAATCTTAGTCCTATATTCACTTGTACCCTTAAATTTGGCATACGAGGCAAGATTTTTAGTAACGCCGGAAGTCAATTAATAATGTAACAAAATAAATAACTCGTTCAGCAATGATTTAATGAAACAAGTTGATCAGGCACAGGAATTAATATAGAATAAAGCTTTAATAAAATAATGAAATGCAGAAAATGAATAATAATAAAAAAAATGATTTACTCCTTAGGCCTTCTGCATGCAAGCATTGAAATACGGAAAATTTCAAATATCTCAATCCATTACAAGAATGTATGAACCATTTTAAGATATAACTACTTCGATGGATTTTCTGAAATTCTGCACATTGAAGGGTAAATCGCAGTTGAAGTTAAAGTACGGTCACTATGCTAACAAAAATTTATGTAATATAATTTTAAAATGTAAATGTAAAAGGTAAATATCCACCTTCAATTTACTACTATTTCATCTATTTATTTTCATTTATTAAATTTATATTAGAAGTTGCTCCTTCCGAATGAGGAAAAAATGGGGAAAAAGGCTGATTTGAGTTCTGGGCAGAACCTTCATTTGAATGCTCACATTTAAATTCTTGAGCATGGTAGTGAAAGACGCTTTGTACAGAACAATAGTCAGATGAGTGATGATTGGCTGAGGTATGCTAACGTAGCAGCAAACACAAACTGGAGGCTTTTGTGGATCTCTTTATAGTAGAGAAGATTATAAGTGCATATATCGTAACTTGTCTGCTAAGGGGTTAAAGCTTGAATGAAGCCAATTCACTGCGAACTTCGACGAGTCTAAATTGATACTTGATATCCGGCAATGCAATTTGCCTGCAGATTCCAAAGCGCAGCATGGACCGGACGCTGCCTACATCCAATTAGTCGAAGATACCGATGAGCTCCGGGAGATTTCCGGCAAAGACTTTGATAGCTTTATTGCGAGCTGGATCTAAGCCATGGATCACAAATGCCAAATCCCTGCGCTCCCAGTGACCCAGCTCATACTCAAGCATGAATAAAATATTTCTCATTGGCGAAAGTATATTTGGTCAGCACGGTGCTCTATATGTGCTAACATTAGCCGAGAAATATTTTCGTACAATTCAAAAATTTCCTGCTCGTATCAGAAAATTTTAACTCCCTCATCGAACAGCAAGTTTTACCCAAATGAATTTTCCAAACTGCGAGTGGAAGATTCAATATATCTAAATTTTGATACCGTTTAGGAACGGAAAAGGCTCGCCAAAGTCGGTTCAGAGGTGAAAAAGGTGTGAATCGGTTACCTACTGCATTCAGCTGCTAACTTAAAGCCCCATTGGAAAATTCCGTCATAAAAATATGGGTTGGTAGGCAACCGATGTAAGCGGCTGATTGATTAGGCCGACCCATGGTCACCCAGTGAAAAGACGTAACACGCCGGCTGAAAAAGTCCAGCTCAGAAAGTATAAACGATGCATGTACATGCGTGTTTTTCAATAATCTTGCATTGCTATTAACTTGCAAGTGTTGCATTATTTTTTCATGTTTTTTGATAAATGCTAAGGTCAACATGCATTTCATGCTCTCCAACTCGCTTGCCTTATGTTTTTGACAACATTCTTGCTATATAAAATACGTACATTGTACGCTCGGCAACATAAGTTCGTTTTGCAATCTTCGACACTCATGCGTGGCATCCGTCAATAGGCGTTGCATGTTTTAAACCACCATTTTGTGAGACATTGATGCGCACAAAAACACGCTCATTACGATTTTTCTATGCAGCGAGCTAGGGCAGCAACTAACGATCTGGGTTGAATTGGAGATGTATTCCGCTAAGGGGTTGGAACACGGGTTGAGTGAAGGTTGAGTGCCCGATTTTGAAATATTTAATGAGTGAAAACTACCAGCGGAGATGTACTTGAGTGAATTTCATCTTGTTGAGATGTCGAATAACACACGAAATACAAAAATCATATTCGACAATTCCGATTTACTTGCCCAGTTATCCTGCACATGTTTAGCAACAAATATTTCTAAATATATATCTCCCGAGGGCTTTTCATATTTAAGCCTGTTGATAAGCCCAGAACTTATTAAAAAACTCCACGATTAGGCGTCATGATATTGCGACAGTGACATTTTTTAGCTTGGGGTATGTAATCGCATGAGCATGTTATTTTAGTTGCTGAAGTTCATCAGCTCAAGGTCCAAATTTCTGAACCACCACAGCTCTATCAAAATGCCCTTTGTAGGAACTTAAGTTCTGGATTATCTAAGGCGATGGTATTTTATTCGTAGATTTTGCCTCGCAACATGGATTTTGCCGTAACCGCCACCGAATTTGGAAATACAAAACAAAAAATATATATTTAAAACTGTGCTAAAACGTTCAAACAAAGTTTCATGTAAATTTGTAACTCGTTTTATCGTTATAACATAAGGTCGCTAATTTATGCACCCAACGAGGCTACGGCGACACTGTGCCCGAAGCTGCCTGGCGCGTAAAATAAATGTGATCATGTAATTTTGCTCTAATTTCCAAGTTACCTATATTTTTATTATGATAGAATACAGAGTATGGGCTATATGCGCTCATTCATAGGCATAATAGTGTACGTCATAAACGCTGTTTTATACTCGTACCCAATTTCAGCAGACGAAAAGAGGGAGCACTCAAAACTTCTCGACCAATAATGATAGTTAAATGAGTTAAAATTATTCGTAATAAACATTTGTGGCTCAAATTGATCCAAACAATCCCGTATGATCAATCATTCAGCAACATATTACCCCGGTTTTAGGTTTTTATCCCCATGCATTTTTCATTTTCATATATTGCATTTCATTCATTTCATTCATGCATTTCACACATTCATTCATTCACACATGCATTTCATTCATTTAGGTGTTCATCCCCATGCATTAAGGCCGCAAACAGCGAATGCCACAAACAACTAGCTTCCAATACTTGATGATACGACAAATATGCATTCAATAAATTTAGTCTCTATTCTTCTCTCGTCATACAGGGAAAACATATATATTATTATGAATTTTAATGACTATTTAGCAAATTACTTAGTTTTTTTCAGAACTTTATTCTGGTGATGCAATTCTTCTGCCTAAATTTTCTGGTTAAATATCATTTATGGTTAAAACATTATATTTTCTATCAGTCATTTGATCTCAACTGATTCAATTTCTTCTTTCTTTCATTTCATTCATGTTTTGCATAATCGTAGTTATCTTCGTGTTAA